CGGGTTAAAGCACAGCACTAAGAAGCTTAAGCCACTTCCGCATGAGTTCGATCCCCGCCTGCCCTGGAGGAGATCCACATGGCGTGGTAGACCTCTCCTGACCCGCCCGCTGCTACCCTCAGCAGTGTACTTCGTCAATCTGCCTGTTCTGTAACCCACTCTGTCTCTGGTGAAGCCTCTCACCCTCCGCATCTCTGGTCTGTACCCCAGTTCTATATGAATAAATAAATAAATCTTAAAAAAAAAATAAAGGAACATTAGTGACTCACTCTCAATAGTAAGTAGAAGTTATTGCAAATTGTTCTTCTTGCGTCTGCTGAGACCTCTAGTGTAAACTGTCATGTGTTGGCCTTTGTTTAGTCTAATGGAGACACCTCTATTCTATATCAGAAAACAACAGGGACATGGAGAAAATGATAATGATTTGTTGTGGGCCCACTATACATTGTTTATATTTCCATCACCAGGACTTAAAGGAAGTCCGTTTTTAAAAACAAAAAATCTGCCTCTCCAGATACTTCAAAAAGAAGCTATTTATGCTTAACATGATAGTAAAGAGCCAAAGAAGTAAGTAATGGCCAATGTGACCATTTTTTGTTTGTCTTGAAAGATAATCTGTTTGTATTACTTGTCAAAAAATAAGATACTAGATGTGAAGAATATAGTAATTAAAGATTTTTTTATTTAGCGACAGAGAGACAATTTGTGAACTAAAAAAAATCAATCTGAGAAAAATCATTCAGAAATAATCATAGTGAAGGACAGTATGAAAATGAAAGTAGAGACGTGGAGGACAGACTTTCCTGGAGGAAAGATTTAATAAATGCCCACATGGTTTTCTACAGCGAGAAGGAATAGACTACGGAAGAGGCATTCTTCAGAAGATAATGGCTAAGAAATGTTGAAAATTGAAGAAAGAGGTGACCTGAATCCTCAGCTGCATGAAGCATCCTGGATCTTGAGTAGGATAAGCTAAAACAAATCTGAACCTGGAAACTTCATTGTGAATCTCCAGAAAATCAACCAAAGAGAAAAGGCTACTTATCCACACGAGAAAACTTTTAAACAGACAGCTGGCTTACTTACAATAAAATCTTCAAAAGACTAGAGGTGAATTAATGGCCAACTAATTGATAGTTGGGTAAACTTTTATTTCAGAATAAATAGCTCATAGAACCACAAAAGACCCCCAAGGAGCCAAAGCAATCTTGAGAACAAAGAACAGAACTAGAGACACCAAGCTTCCTGATTTCAAACTGTACCACAAAACTATAGCAATTGAAAGAGCATGCAATTAGCATAAAAACAGACAGATAGATGAATGGTACAGAAGAGAGATCCTACACATAAACCTACATATAGAGAGTTATTTAATTTACATCAAAGGTGTCAAGAATAGACTATGGGGAAAGAAGTTTCTTCAATAAAGGATGTTGAGAAAACTAGAAGCCACAGACAAAAGAATGAAACTGGGCTACTGTTTCTACTTTTTTTTTTTTTTTAAGATTTATTTACTTATGCATACAGAACTGGGGCACAGGCCAACCATGCAGGAGGTGAGAGGATTCACCAGAGACAGAGTGGGGAGCAAAATAGGCAGATGGACTGAAATCATTGCTGAGGGGAGCAGCAGGCGAGACAGGAGAGGTCTGCCACGCCATGTGGATCACCTCCCTGGCCAGGAATCAAACTCATGCTGCAGTGGCTGCAACAGCTTCATAATGCTGTGCTTTAACCTGCTGCACCACCAGGGAGGGCCCTGTTTCTGCTTTTTTTAAAAAATAACTTTAACTTTTTTAAAACATCAAGTCAATTGTCTGGTAGAACCATGATTTTTTTTTTTTTTTTTTGGACACTAAAAGCAAAGACAGAAAAGAAAATAAATGAGAGGGACTACATAAAACTAAAAGGCTTCTCCACGGCAAAGGAAATCACAAGATGAAAGGCAACAAGCCAAATGGGAAAATTAAGTGCAAATCATGCATGGAGTGGAATGTATGGTGTGATGACTACAAGTGACACTATTGTATTGAATGTTTGAAAATTGATAAGAAAGTACTGATCTTAAAAGTTTCCATCACAAGAAGAAAATTTACTACCACATATGATGATGGACGTTAACTAGACGTGATCATTTAGCAATACATACAAGTGTCAAATCGTTAGGCACCTGAAACTAATATAATGCTGCCTGTCAATTACATTACAGTAAAAGAAAAAGGTAGTAAGTTAATTTCAGAGGATTGAGTTTCCAAAAGATCCTCACTGAAGGAATTAAAGATCTAAAAAGGAAACAGAACCCAAAGAAGAGAAGGACACAAATAGGCCCAGAAGCAATGAAATTAGTCAATTTTTAAGTAAAGTGAAATAGTCCTTAGTGATTTTTATCTATTTACATGTTCATATAAATACTTAAATATAGATATATTTAAACCATATGAGATTAGGTTGTTTTTTTTTAAAGATTTATTTATTTACTCACACAGAACTGGGGTACAAGCCAGAGATGCAGTGGGTGAGAGGCTTCACCATAGACAGAGTGGGAACAGGCAGATCAACAAAGTACACTGCTGAGGGGAGCAGCGGGCG